ACAGCCCCCCCCAACAGTGCGCTGTCACTGAGAGGAAACCTCTCCCAGGCAATTCTTGTGGGATTTTTGCACCCATTCAATTATCGGTACCAAGTTTTGGGTAGAGGGAGACACCTGGGACAGGCTTTCAAATACCTAAGTGTTTCCTAAGAAGTTTCAAATATTCTTTAGAAAAATAAAAAGCAGGCTAATTTTGATAATGACAAGAATGCCTGGAGAGAGGAGCCTAGTGCCCAAGTAACCTGAGAAGAAACTCTGTGCACTAGCGTGAGGCTGCCTTTGTGCCCACAAAGATGTCACTCCAAAGGAGTAATGGTAAACATACAGTAAAACTCATAATGAAAAGTCTGGAATGCCAAGCAGGAACACCCAGACTTTCAACTTTTAGGGCATCTATTTTCTACTCGGACTGCAATAGACAGTTTGCTTGCTTTACTCACAAGATTTGCCCAGGAAGCAGTTATAACAGGGCTAGGATAGGACCAGGGTATGGGTGAGGATGCATATTTGCTAGTAAATTCTCCGAGGCTGCCTGCTGAGTGCAGGTGGAAGAAGCCAAATGCAGCCAGGTACCATCCCCCTGGTTCCTGAGCTGTTTCAGGTGACCTCTGTGTTGGGAAGGTGGGTGCAAGATGACTCCTCCATCCGTATGATAGTACCTTATTCCTTCTTTACACATTTGTAAATGACTTAATGCAAATAAGGGGCCTGCTCACACTATAGGACCCCGCAGAGGACATGCGACAGGTCTGTCATTGCCTCCCCTGTAGGTTCACGGAGGGAAGAGAAGAGCTGGTAGGGATCCTGGGAGCCTGCCTTGCTCTCCTTGCTCACATGTTCATTGCAACCGGACAGAGGAGGGCAAAGCAAATAAAATAATAATGTAATAATCAAAACCTGTCAAGGAGACCCTAAGTGTGTGCGTGGTGGGAGGAGAGGCACCAGTCTTAAGGGGCAAACCCTGATGCCCGAGCGGCTCTTTGGGCTGGGTAGCGAAGCGCTGCCCTCAGTGCAGGCTGGGCTGTAGCTGTTGCAGTCCAACCTCTGCCTCCTGTCTGCACAGGGCAGCACACCATACAATGTTCCCAATTATTCCCATTTCCAACTGTCAGGGGCATCAGTGGCAGCAAGGCCAGGCCCTGATTACGGGAATATGGACAAACATGTGTGTGCGCTCTCCCACCCCAGGGCCCCAGTTGCCTCTGTTTCTGCTCTTGAATGCTTCTTCTCTCTCTAGCATGTTTCTTTAATGATTAGGAATGTCCTGCAAACTAGTGCATGTTTTTTTTCTTGGTGATTTTGTCAGCTGTGGAAAAAAACCCACTCCTCTGAGCAAATAAATGAAAGAAAAGAAGAATCCACATACTTGCGGACAGCACCACATAGTCTACTGAAGTCCTCAGAAGCACAGTTTGTGGAGACCTCACAAAGCGCCAGTTCACAAATTCTAAGTATTCAACATACAAGGAAATGACATGTAGGTGTAACAAGTCTTGCCCTTAATGTAAAATGTTGAGGACTATTGACATCAATGCCCACTTAGCCTCTGTAAACTTTGATAAGAATTGCATATGAGAAATTCATTTCTTCATCTCATAGTTAAGAAGAATTGCCTGATGATGACTCACTTGAGCACAGCATTGTCCCTTGAGACAGGATACAAATAGCCATAGGTACCTAATTTCCCTGTAGCTGCATAGCACCTACAACCCATTCACGTCCTGTGAGAAGACAAGAAATGGAGATTTAATTTTCCCCTATCCAAAGTTATTTCTGTGCTTAGTTCAGGATCAAATGAAAAAAAAAAAAAAAAAGTCCAGCTCTTTAGTTTTGTTCTCAAAGCTTTAGTTTTCTATCTTACACAGTAAGCTTTTCTCACGAGATTTCATTTCAAGTTGGTTTAAATACCACATGATCAGATGGCCTCAGAAGAATTACATCATTCTGGTAGAAACATGTGAGAGTAGCTTTGCTGAGTGTTCCCTAATCTCTAGCATGATTACTTGTGACAAATATCTGCGTTAAACCAACTACACATTAGAATAGTAAACTAAAACTGCTTTCTTTGTCCATCTCCAAGCAAAATATTTTTACCTAATTGAAGCCTGGAACTGGTTGCATTGGTGGACTTTCTGATGGAGACCTACAACTTAAGCAAAGAAAGGAATCCTATTATTTGCATGCATTTGTGTGTTTTAAGACTGTTCGTGAGTGGTAGGAACTGTACATCTCCTTTCTCTGGATAGCTTTATTTGGGCACTTTAATCATGCATATCCAGCAACTGAGAATTAGGGGAAAAAAAAAATAAAAAAAGCGTGCTTTAAGCTACCTAGAAATCCAAAGATGATAAATTCAGCTATTTGTTATCTGAATCACCATCTCTTACAAGTATGTATGCCCAAAGGACTCCTGCTGTTATATGACAATGACTCAGCATGAGAGCTCATCCACATCAGGCTCAAGTGGCTTTTACTCATACCTGTACTTTTCAGTCTGCCTTATCATTTCTTGCTCTTCTCTGTAAGTAGAGCCAGTCCTATCGAATGCTGAATGCTTTTAGAAGGACCAAATGCAAAACTATGTAGTCAAAGCTAGAACTTGTCTCAGTCTTTAGAGAAGCATTTAAAATGTCTCTATCGGGTCTGTCTTTTCCTAGATGTAACAGACTGGAGGTGACTTATTTAGGCACATATCTCTATGGGTGAGGTGAGGCGGTAAGAAGTAGTGTACAGTCTAACTGCATCCTACCAAAGTCTCAGGCTAAATGACTATTGAATCCTAATTCATATGGAAAAATCTATATGCATTTCAGGAAGTGTCTCCTGCCGAGTGTGATTTAGAGCTCCACTGTAACCGTTACAGTTGCACAAAGGATGAATGTGAATCATTATGTCAAGAGATACAACAAGAGTGTGAGAAAGAAAACACCTTAGTCCATCACTAAATAGCAAGCATCACCTATCAAGGTGACTGACGGCAGCAGAGAGCCCAACCCTGCTAGCATGAAGGCTGCTAGGAAAAGAGTTGCAGTTAACACACAAAAATCCAAGGACAAATTCCATTTGTAAAAGCATATTAATGACTTCATACAGCCCCCATAGCAGTCTTCCTCGCCATGTGAGACGTTACTGGGGAATCTGTTTCTTTAGTGGTGGGAATTGATTTTAGTGGTTTGGGAAAGCACCATTACAATGCTCCCATATATCACCTCTCCTTTGAACAAGAGCTCTGGGTGTAATGCACGATGTAATGACACTCACGGGTTCGCATATTGTATGCAATATATATACGCCCAAGATACCAAAACTCATGACATATTTTGGCAATCTTTCTCTTTTTAATCTTTTGTCGCACAGACTGTCACAATGTGCAGTAAGCGAGGCAATACTGGCTGCACAGTCCACTTTTTTTTTTTTTTAAAAAAGTGGGGTGTCACGTTAGGCTCTAAAGGGCTTGGCATCTGTGGCTATGAAAACGTGAAGACAGATCTAAGAGATTTATTTTAAAATACTATTTTTCAAACTACTTTTTAAGAAAAAATAATTAAGGAAGTCTCTCATAATCTGCATATACCAAGCCTACATTAATCCTCTTTACAATGCTTAATTTTTATTAGGTAAGTCAGAGAAACAACTCGGTGAAATCAAACCAAAGTTAATCATATTTTTAAGGCATTTCCAGTTAGTATAATTTACCATTAATTTTACATTTAAATTTTACTAGCCTCAGCTTTTTTGCCTCAAGACCTGTTCAGAAAGGTCCATAGTGTCTGAAATGGTATCCCTTATTTTACTGAAAACTTTCTAAACAGAGTACCCTTCAGAAAAGAACTTTTCCCTACAATCGCAATATTTAATCAGCATTCCCTAATCAAATCTGATAAAATCAAATGGCGCTGAAGAAAAAAATCTCCCTCAAATTACAAAACGCAGTGTGAACCTTCGTATGGCCAGATAATAATTTTTTTGTTTTAAATAAAATTCTGACTGCTTCATTTTAAGCCATAGCTATAGTTTATTTATACAGTGGATAAACAGAACGACCATACCATGGTAAACTGCATTCAAGGATTTCTTTATGCAAGGTCTTCCCAAGTGGAAGATTATTCTGTAAATGCAAATGGAGTCTCCAGGCAGTATAATCCCTTATTACAGATTTCAGGTTGGACTGGGACAGTTCTGCATAGAACAGCTGGAGGTCAAACCCATTATCCAGGGCTAAATCAGTAAGGTATTTAAGAATTTGTGGAATTTTACAAACTTTTGTGAATTTTGAGTACTGAAGGGTATGGGAGTTAATCCCATACATACATTATGAGTCAATGTTCCTGACCTTTATTACTGTCAGCAAGTGTTTCTCCACTTACTTTGAAGTCACTGGAGTTTAGGACATGTTTTTCCATCCCCTGAAGAATTAGCCTGGCGCATGATTATGAGTGCGACCTTTCATATTTTGTTTGGCAAATATTTACGTGACTGGATTTTGCTTGAGGATTAATTGTTCTTTATATAGACACAAGTTTAGTCATAGAAATGAGGTTAACCCCCCTACTGTTCTGTTTCTTGTTGACAAACAACCACTGCAATTTACAGAGAAATAATACAGGCAATTTCTTTACCTCCAGCAAGATAAAAACAAACTCCCACAGCACAGTCTCCTATTTTCCCATCCTCCTTTTCACTGTTTTTCTCCAACTGTCTTTTCTTTAACCTTTCCTTCTCCACCCTTTCCTCTGTTTTTTTCCCAATTCCTACTGTCTTTTTTCTACTATTCATGTTGTCCCCAGTTTTTTAATCCTCCTCATAGCCTTCCTCCTCCCTAAAAGTCTGCTTTTACTCCCTGAAAATGGAGAACAGGGGTTGTGAGAAACTACCACAACTGTTGCTGGCTAAAGGGAGATACCCAGACCACTCAGACTGCACCTTCAGATGGAAGATTTTTTACATTAGTGTTGCTCTGTTATTCTGACATGTTCCTGCTAAGAACCATAGAAATGATCAGCAGTAAAAAACAGTTGAATTTCCTTCTTTCTGGGATGGCTTCTGGGATGGCCCCAGAGTGAGCCAGTCCAGGGTCAAAGAGCTTGGGGGATGCTGGGGGAGCTCAGGTAGGAGGCTGGGCTCCAGGACCCCCTGCAGTTGTGAGTAAAGGGGGATAAACAGCCAAACCAGCAATCCAGTGAGACCTACAGAGCATGGGCACTTAAGCAGCACTGTGAAATGGGTTCCCATGCTCTTACCAAGGTGATGAATGGGTCTGCTTCATGCTGGCCTTGGGGTCTGTGGACACTGGCCAGCTTTCAGAGGCAGCACTCACAATCTGGGTCTTCAGGGGTATTCAAACTCTCTCAGAAGAACTGGATTTCTAAGACTAACTCAGCAGCATTTGTAATTGCAGTTAGATTGTAAGAGAAACACCAAATACGATTCTTAGTTTACAGCTGGGAAAAAATGGAGAAGAAAACCGCAACAAAACATCCTATTTCTTAGCATTTACTTTGTGTCTGTGGTAGCACTTTCTGTATGATCAAATCCAGTATTATTCTGTAGAGCCGATGTATTTCCCATGCTAGTGTGGGTTGCTTACAGCAAGGTAGGTGAAAAAAAGGGATATTGTGTGTGTAACCAAAGCAGTGAATACATACATCTCTTTAGCATGTGTGAACAAACTCAGGCCAGCAGACTGCATGACAGAGAGCAGCTGGAAGAGAACTTCTCATGATCTGGCTAGCATGTGGCGACATAACACCGATACATCTGTTTTATGTCATGCTGCCTTTTTTTTTTTTTTTTTTTTTTTTTTTTTTTTTTTTTTTTTTTTTTTGTGTAGTATATTCAAAGGGAGAGAAAAGCCCATTTCAATGATGTCAACAGAATGCGTTCAGCCCCTTGATATCCCAGAAGACAGACTGGACAAGCGAGATTCACACTGTAACCATTTAGGTAAGTGTTATTAGATGATGTCATTGCAGTAATTACAGAGGTGTTGTCTTCACATCATTAGGTCCTGTCCAGTGTCCTTTTTCCCCCTCCAGCAACACAACTGAGCCCTCATGAAACCTGATAGATTACACCTTCTGCTGAGACTTCTGATGCCAGATGGAAAGGCAAAGAGAGTTTTGCCTGCATATAAATATTAACTGAAGCTCTAGAGCAAAGTTAATTAAAGAGAAGAAAGGAAAAAGAGTCATTATTCTTTTCCCCGGTATAAAAAGTGAAGCAGTTTCTTCATTTATACCACAATAAACTGAAAGCTAGGATATAGCTGAGCCTTCCGTCAACACATTTTCCATATGCAATTTCAGTAAAATATATAAAATACCCCCTTTGCCTCCACTGGGGTGGCTTTCTAAATATTTTTTCTCCTTCATCATCAATCTGTTTCCTCTCTTGAACCTATTTGATGCATAACTTTTGCACTGAGAGTACCAGAGGCATCTTTGCTTCACCACACTCCTAAATACTAGACTTCATACTTGATAGATGTGCTCTTTGCATATTCATGGTCTTTGCCTCTGCTTCAGATGCTATTACTTCACTCCCGTCTTGCAAAATTGTCATGAAGATTTAGCAACCCAGAAACAAAATCTATTTGCTCGTTGTTACCCTTGTGATGAGAATAATGAAACAAAAATGCAATTTCACTTGCTTGTCAAAAAAAAGTGTCTTACTGCAGGCAAACACAATTTTATAAACTTTGTTTATCTGGCCTGCAAGGAAGGTATCCTAGTTCTGCCTCTGCCACATGGCATTTCCAGCCACAGGCACCACTATTACAACTGCTGGTATACCAAACATAATTGTTCCATAAAATTATTTAAATAAGTACAGACCAAGTCTCATTGTACAGTCAGGAAACTGAGGCAGCAGGAGGTTTAAATGAGCTTATTAGGACCATGCAGGAAGCCTGTGAAGGCCAGAAAAAGATCCCACATCTTTCAGGGACTTCGCCTGGAGGTCATCCTTCCCACGTCTACCTGCAGGCTCACATGCCTGCTTCAGATAGTGTGAGAGAGCCTGGAATGAAGTCCTGTTGCACGCAAGTCTGCAGTGAGGGGTTGGGTGGGGGTAGAGGGTCCTGCGGAAGCCAAGCAAGCAATTTTTAAGCAATCAAAGGATTGGTTTGTGTGGTGATACTAATAACAGGCTAAATTCAATATTGTCAGCTTGCGTAAGCACGCAGAAATGCAGATCCTTGCAGAAAAGCCATGCTGACCATCTGAGACATCTGAGTCAAGGCTTGTTTTAAGGGAAAACCAAAAATCCAGTGTAATGTTATGTAAATCAAAAGCGAATACCAACTGCTCAGTGGCTCTGGAAATAAAGCCAACTCTTCAACAGAACAATATATTAGCTTGGTTTACCAATACCTCAGGCTGACCCCACACATATAAATCTTTCCTTCACAAAAGTGCCTTTGTAACTCTTGAAGACACAGCCCACACAGTTAGTGCTGAACGAAACAGGGATGGCCATAGGACCTCTGCACATGATGGGGCAGCCTTCCCTCTGCCGTGTAACACACAGCTGCCCACAGCTCTCTCCCTCTGCTTTATGTCTACCACCTACAATGCAGAAGGACCACCTAAGTCCCTTGACTCCCACATAGTATGGCAGAGAGGCCTCTTTTGCTGACTTTCTATTTAAGAGATGTTTCTCCCAGGCATTTTCATTTATTTGGATAAAAACAGTATTATTAAAGTTCTTCTTTTCACCATCTGGTTTATTATTTCCCCTCAGTTTCAATTTCTATTATTTTTTTTTTCCCCAGCAGAAGATCTTTCAGAGCAGCTGATTAAGAGCTGTGACCTCAAAAAGAAACCAAGAAAAAGTAAAACCATCCCAGCTTCCCAAAGCACTGAACAGGAACAAAAAAAGCCAAGGAGAAAGGATACACCGGCTTTACATACCCCACCACCTCTGACAGGTGAGCAATACATCTCCTGACTCTGACATCCCAATTCAGCTGAGGGAACTGAATCTGGGCAAAGGTGTGGAGACACCTCATTCACTTATGTCCCCTTGGATGTGGGCAAGAACACAGCTACATGCCATGTGCACCTGAGAAGGTAGGCAAACAGAGGCTGAGTTTCTCAAAGGCATTCCCTGCTAGACGAGGGGTTTTCTCATAGGTCTAGGAATACCAAGATGAGTGGGTGTGTGCTCTGGAAAACGTACTCCCTTGAAGCTCATAATCTTGCCTTTATGTGATAAATGATGTGTATTTATCTCTAGCTGCTGAGCTATGCCAGATGTCCCAATTCGATCTGGTCCAAAATCAGAAAGGATCCAGTTCAGCCCCTGCACTTTCTTGCAAAACTCGCACCCAGTGTGCTCAGGGGGAGGCTGAACTGGGATAAGGCTGGGAGGAGACCAGAGAAACACACAAGCTGGCTGCAGGTTGCTCTTCCTGGAAATCACAGGGCTCTTGTGCTTATGGGGAATCTGGCAAAGGGCGGGTGTTTCAGGAAACCAGAAACCATCATGGCAACAAAAGGGCTCCTTTTAGGAGGCTCCGTGCTGCTGTGAATCTACAGACATCTGAAGTTTGAGAGCCAAATGCCACCAACCTGGGGAAGGGAAGAATGATCAGGAAGGAGACTGCCACTGAAACCTGATGATCTTCCAAGATCAGCAGTGGGAATAAATGTTTGTTGCTTCTCTCTGCTAACAAGCACTCCTTGTTGTGCTCTCCGTGGAGATAGTTGTGCTCTTTTATCAGCTGCACTGATTTCTTCCCATGCTGCACATACACGGAGGAGTTAGCCAGTAACTACTTGCACGGTCCCCTGCGTACCCACAATAATACACCCAGGCAAAAACAAGTATCTGAGATTTTCCAGTGTTTGCAATCCAAATACTGAACTCGACTCTATTCAGCTTTTGCATGTGTCTTCCCCTCAATAATTCTCTCTTAAGGAAGAGTGGCGCAGAGGCTGGAGAGCTGCATTTTGTGCCCACAGTAGCCATATCATAAAGAAAATATTGTTTCACTAGTTAAAACAGGCCATTTCTGTGTGGTCACATTGCTCCCAAGCAGAGGCTGAGCATCCAAATGATTAAGCTACTTTGATAAGATGTCTAAGCTTCTGGAACAAAAGATTGCACTCATCTTTACCATAATTTCTGATGGGCTGCAGTTTAGTCCACTGAGTATAACCAGAAGCCAGCTGGCCTGATGGCATTACTGTAGTCCATGGGATATAACTGACTTGGAGGAAATGTGTACCGTTGCAAAACCTGAAGAGTAGGTACAACATGCAGAGCAGATCATGCACTCATGCAGCCTTACTTGAGAGTAGTCATTGGGAAAGTTACACAGGCACAAATTTCTTCAATGTAAACAAGGCTGAAGTGGCATTTTCTTTTTTTTCTTGCCTTCAGGCATACTCTCAGACTTTTCTGATAACCTGCTGAAAAGGTATGGCATCACAGAGAAGCCACAGAAGGAGAGAGTGAGTCCAGGCTCTCAGATCACCGAACTGGAGCAGAAAAAGCCCAGGAGAAAAGATACGCCTGCAATACACATCCCACCCTTGATAATAGGTGAGAAACTTACTTAGGTAAAGGTGCTCCAAACAGGAAGCAAAACGGGTCTACTGTCAGAGGTATGTTTGGGAGGAGGCTGGAAGGAGATTGCTCTACCTCGTGTACTTAGCAGTTCCTGCTGAACTGGACCTACTTGGTCAAAGTATAGCAGTGGTGGCTCATAGAAAGTCTCTTCCATATCCTCTGCTCATGCTCTGGGGGTAAAAGGGAAGGGGAGTAAGAGAAGGCATTAAGCTGCTTGATTATCTCTTGCAAAAGTGATCCTACTTTTGTGAAAGTTCAACTACTGCCCTGCTTTTCAAACCTGAGCACATGCAAATTTTTAGGTCATCGGCAACTAACTTGGCTCACACTGCCTCAGACAACCTGGAGCAAAGCTGATTAACCTCCCCTTAATGCCACAGTCCCTGAAGTGAACTGAGGAAACCAAGCTGTGAAGAACTTCTCGTTAACAGCACCTTAAAGACACTTCTGTGCTTCTGGCATAATATGCAGTGCAGCAGCTAATTTGCTTGGTGACTGTATGAAGTCAGCCAGCCATGTTTAGGTCCTGAGATCCTCTCTTTGTTGTGTTTCCCACATTTCTCTTTCACAGAAGAGCCTCAATTCATCAATATTTCTGAAGGTCTTTGAAGATGTAAAGCATTGTGTAAATGTTAATTACTAGTGCTAGCTAGAGATGCAGGAAACAGTGCAAGTTTGCAGGCTGTGCACCAGCCCTTTCCAGATCACAGGATGGAGCAAAAAATGAACAAATGAATGAATGAAAACCAACCAACCAAACCCCAGATCCAAAACTAATGCCAAAACAGGAACACACTGGTCCCTTAAGAACCTCTCGTGCAAACCAGTTATGCAGTGGGCTGGCGCTACTGAGCTGTGAGACACACTAACTGAAGAAGTCCTGAGACAGGTACTTCGGCCCTGAGTGACTAAGCAACAGCTCAGTACATCAAGCTCCCGAGTTTCAGGTATACTTTGAACAGCATTTCCTGTATCAGGGGCAACAGAGCCAATGTGTTTGATTGCCTGAATTTCATTCCCTCCCTACTCAAAGGATGCATATTTTCTTGTCAAGATACATACCAACACGCAGCGTTCTGCCAGCTGAGATTCACCAGCGGTGGCTCTGTGACTTGCTATGAAAAAGTGACTCATTGTGGCTGAGGGCTGGTCCAATATTTACTACTTGTTTACTTTCAGGGTTGTCCCATCAGGTAGCAGACAGAGTACAAACAAACAGAGCTCTTGCGGAACTGCTGTGCAAAATAGAACCTGAATTATAGACTCGGAGACCTGAAAAGCCCCATCAGGGCTACATGTGTTAAATAAATATAGACAGGCCTTTCTGTCTCCCTGTTACTGGCGTTGTTGCAGTAAGCTGCACACTCGATGCTGTGTGTATCCCTTGTGACCTGCTAATGAGGATTGTCCCTGTTTGTAACATTTCCCCTTCAGATCCCTCCCAAATGCCACTTCCAGATGCCAATTCAAAAAACTCCATTTAATTGTTTGTAGTAACAGAGCTTAATTACTAGATTATCTTTTTAAGCAGCTGTCCACACAAATAGCTTTGTTGTAAATGTAGCTAAAAATGGCACCTGTGTTATCTCTCTCCATTTTGACCAGCTGGTTGTGAGCACTCTAGGATGGTCCTTCTCCTTTTTGAGTGGCCAGAGAGATTTTCTATTGCAAACGAAAGTAAGTCAAACCAACCATACAAAATGATGAAAGTCAGTGGAACTACTGGATGGCACATGATCCATGTGATAGGTAGAATCAGTTTTACACCTTGCGAACACCCAATCCAAATGGGAAATGTAGGTACAGAAAGGAAACTTCTAAATTAGGATCTGAACGTTACTGTGTGGAAGAATCCATGGCTACCTGTTGCCTGCAGAAGGAGACTAAGGAAGTCAGTCCTTAGACAGCTTAAATGTCTAAGCCTGGGCATCACAAAATTCTCCCCTACAAGGTTCAGACTGCTAAATGTTCAAACCTTCAAAATCCTACTGAAGTGGTGCAAATAACATCTGTGCCATGTGTGTATAAATGAGCCATGAGCAGAGGTCTCCTCCAGAGGCCAGCTTCCTTTCAGTCACCCAACCCCTTGGCTTTCTGAAGGGATTAGACCAGAAGACAAAATATCACAATTCTAATGGTCTTTTTTATCTCAGTTGACAGTAAATGAATTGAATCTGATCCAAGGCCTGTGCTCAGCTCTGGGACACTCTGTTGTGTTCCCCACTTAGCAATATATTTAATTAACTGAAGTATTTCTGAGAGCTCTTAAGGCCTGTGGGTTTGAGCAAGAATGTAAATACCTGTGTAAATATGGGAATGCAGTTCTTGAAATGTGGCTGCTTAGGGTTTCTTAATCAGATCAGAGATGACTAATAAAACCACAGTTTCAAACCCGAAAATCTTGAGTGATGTAGGAAAAGCACAGCAGTTTAATGTCACCTCTTGCCCCTTTCCTGTGCAAGGGATGTGACTGGAGCACTCCAATACTCTCCCAAACTAAGTGCAGTTGCCCGTAGGCAGTCAAGTGGAATTGGTGCCCTTATAACCCAGGAGGGGTGGCTTGCCGGGTGGCACCTGACAAATGGTTGATTTAAGCCAACTTCTTCTTCTGCCTATATTTGAGCTTCCTAACGGAAGTTCTCAAGCCTCTGTGAGCCTTTGAGGTCCTATTATCTAACTAAAAATTGGAAGTAGTTGCAAGTTTTGTTGGGAAAATATGACTACATTGTATTTCTACTCTGCTTTCTTCAGTTAGAACCCTTGGCAGATATTAACAGAACAACCTACCAATCCTTAAAACAGGTCTGTGGGATGAGCTGCATTTCATAATACATACAGCTGGCTAAAGAGAGGTAGGGAGGCTAACTGATTTAATTAAACAGTAAATAGAGAAAGACTGACTTACAAATGTTCCCCAAATCCAACATGGTGCTCATTCTTTAAACCCAGAATTTCCAAACCTCATTCAGCAAAGCACACTTTCTCCACAAGTGATCAGTGGCTTTGTATCAAAGAAAAAAAAATCCTTTCCGAGTGTTACAGAAATAACTCTAGCTTTGGCATTCCATTTGTATCCCCCTTCTACTGTTTTGCATTAAAAGGCTGATTTTAAAGGCATGTAGTTGTCCTTGGAGTTGCTGGTGGTCCATGATCTGGAAAGTTAACAACCTGCAGCTTTAGGCCATGTCCTCCTCTGTGCTTTGAATCCTGAACTGTGCTAGAAACCTTTTGGAATTCATCAGTCACCAAAGTGATTCATAGATAATGATGCATCATCTTGCAACTGATTGTGGTAAGCGCCTGACACGCTGCTGATATGGGTCCAGCTGAGAGCTGGGGACCTCTGCTTGGCTGCTACCTTCCAGCTGTCTCTAGCATCTGCTCTGAAAGGTCTAGTTTATTTGCTATAACCGGGCCATCAGAATTACATAAGCACTTCATAATTTAAATGAGAGCAGAAATGATCATAACACATAGCACAGGTTTATTTAGCTTACTTTCCATATCTCTGAATTTATCCAAAAAAACAGGTTAGCGCTCATCAAATGATCCATTGTAGCTTCACATTTTAAGCATATTTTAGTTATGTTTTCCCCATTTGTCAAGTACTCCATGATGAAAAAACAACCGAAGAACTCCACTCCCCCACTAAAAAAACCACAACCCAAACCCCAAAGGCAACAGGGGGGAAAAAAGTTGTCTCTATGAATAGAGGTCTGGGTGGGGAACATTTACATCCATCTCCATAAAATTGCAGTTACTCTTTGCAGTTAAGAATGGCGATTACTCAATTGCTGCTTGAAGAAATGAAGTCCTTTGTGTTTTAAAATAATATTCATTCACTTCTTTCAGTTTATCTTATGGTCCCGTTGAAACTAGCCGGTTCACAAGAACTGCATATAAATGAAGCAGGAGCTAACTTAAATGAAGGGCAGTATAGGTTAATATTTTCATTAATTCATCACCTCTGGAAAAGATTCCAAAGTTGAAGAAAATCTTCCTGTGTGGTATTGCTCTATTTTCAGACCTCGTCAAGACTGAAAGCCTTCTCTGTGAGAGGGCTTTCGATGCAGAAAGAGGCAAAACAGGTTGGTTTGAGAGAAGAACTCAGCTGGTTAGCACAGACTTAGAGCAAACAGTAGGAGACCAAATTAGGGAGAGATTTCATTGGTTTCCACACAATGGTAACCCTCATCCTGTTTTTAGACTCTGTTAACCTCCATACCAAGGAATGTAGGCATAAAATGTATCTTACAGGTATATATGTGTATATCTCTCTCTATATCTCTTTTTACTGGGAACAGGCAAAAGAGCACAATCTGTTAAAACAGGGATCAAGAACACTTTCTACCTAATGAAGAGAGCAGTTACAGTAATAGTGATATCTTGGTTTCACATAAAAGCCTCAAGATCTGTAAGGGTGGATTTACTGGTTTAACTATAAGAGAGAGAAAGAAAGAAGTTGGAGGGGAGATTTGTGGAAAGTATGATCCACAACCTGAGTCTGTTTTCACATTGATCTTAATTTGGTTGCTTTTGCAATGTATTGGTGCTTTATAACTTCAGTGGGGATGGCACTTGGCATGTGGGTATTCTAACATTTGTCTCTTCTGGCATCTGCAAAATCTAAGTAATATTGCAAAAACATACATAAATTGACTCTGTCATGATAATCACAGTATCTATTTCATCATGCAAGCTTTTTCCCTTTTATAGCTTCCCAACGCTTTTAACAAACAGGTTCCCGGATGAAACTTCAGCGTCTCTTCTCACAGGCAGCAGAAATACTCTGGATTTAAGAGTGCCTAATAATTTTAGCTAAAAATGTAGTGATCCAATTCTTGTTCACTAAATATCACGAGACTCATGTGCCAAAGTTAAATGAGGAGTAACTCCCATAATGTCAGAAAACTATGTTAGGATAAGGAAATTAGAGAGGACTGATAAATTATTCTTATCCTGATATTTTCTAAAGAAGTAATATTTAAATCAACTGCTTTTTTTCCTCTCTCTCTTTTTTTTTTTTGTGTGTGTCTGTGTCTGTGTGTCTGTGTGTGTGTTTCCTTCCATTTTTAAGGCACTAAGCTGCTTACAGAAGACAAGCAAACAGTGATTATGGAAGATGAAGAAAAGGATGGAGACACAATCCCCAGTTAAGATTACAGTGGTAGTTCCAATAATGCTGTGTAAATAATTCTGGGTCATTCAAAGTGGCAGCACATAGAAAAAAAAGTCCTTTCATTTTTATAAATAATAATTTTCTCAAGCATGCACTTGAATTGAAATAATCTTCAAGTGCTTATCAGCATCTCATGAAATCCCAGCAATCATCATAAGGGATGATGACAGAAATTTCACTTACGTGTGGGGTTGGAAGGATTCTTTTGGCTTGCTAGAAGCAGCTTCCCAGGATTTTTGTCACTGAGGAATCTAGCAGTGTCGTGATGAGGGTTAACATAAAAGACACTGCCAAGCCAGTGTACCTGGAACTAGATACTAGAGCAGTTGGTAGCACAGAGCAGTAAAATATCAATTAATGATTCAAACAGCATTTTTCTCCTGACATTTTACCTCATTGTCCAGCTTTCCTCTGCTGGAGTAACACTGACAGCAGTGAAAATTCCCACATGCAAAGCCAATGGGATAGATGGAAAAGGTGAGAGGGCAGGAATCTTGAGTCCCTGAAATGCAAAGGAAACACTTCTGCCTGTATCCTCCCGTGACTTGTGTTTGTGAGGAGAAAAAAATAGATTTACTGTAGAATGAAAACATACAGCTAAGAGCTGTCAGCAATGGCACATCAAACAGGACGGAGGGCAGAGCTCTCAGAAGAGAAACATATGGGAAGTGCAACGCTTGCCTGTTACACCAGTGTAGACTATTGATTTTTTTTCTTTCAAAGGTTGTATTCCTGGGTTGGTGAAAGATAAGCTAGTTTGATAGTTGATCCTTTCACTCCATACTTTTTCTGTTGACATCTGCTTTTTAAACTGAGTTCTAGGTTGTCAGCTAGGAGGGGCTCTAAAGATTAAAAATCACAGTGGCAGAGTAAAAATTGAGTAAAAGGAATAGTGTTACTCAATGTACTACAAGGTGGAACACCACCACGCTTTATTTTTAATAGTTTACCTCATTGATTCAATCAAGAATTGTCTTCACAGCCAGCTACAGCCTTCAGCATCTGTACAAACAGAGACTGACACTTGTAGAATATCATACAAAATAGGTAGAGCTGGCTAGTTTTGTGCTTACCTTAGTAGTTCTGTGCTAGATGGAGCAGCACTGCCGCCTGGCCCCTTAGGGACCTCAGCAGAGAGGTTAAAGATTAACTAGCCTGGCAGACTGAATTTAGTCATCTTTTAACAGCCTTAGGCAGACAGCTGAGGAGCACACTAGTTTGGACTTCATCTGCCACGGTGACTGACCCAGCACCTTTCACAAGAATGCAGTCCATTTGCAGATACTCAGCTTCAAGATGTAACCAACAAGCTTATAATAAATGATCTTGTATTAAAGTGTATGAGAGGCCAGCTATATTATTAATGGGATGCCTGATACCTAGGAAGCGTACTATTTTTTTTTTTAATCCTGTTAATCTGTCAGTGAGCTGAAATTTTAAATATAATCAATCAATAGTTCATGTAACAACATTCATGCAAGGTACACAATAAAGTATGTCACAGCAAGTACATGACAAGAAATAAGTGCAATTTGAGTCTAGCTTTACCAGTGAAGTTGGTGAATATTTTCAGTGCACAGTATGGCAAAAGTGAGAGTGTGGGGGCCTGAGAAGATTCAAATGAACATCAGCAATGGATTAGCTGTGAAAATGCACGTGTTTAGACATGAAGGCCCTTAACAACACAAGGCAAGAGCACAAATAGGATGTAACCAACTCCACTGCTCTGAAGAGGATTTGTTCCCAAGCCTGGAAAATGCTGACACAGCTTAATATGAAAAAAAAAAAAAAAAAAAGCATGTTCTTCACCAAAGAGGAGTTATGATCCCAATGACATCTCTCATGGCACAGCAGCTTGATTTACCATCCCTGTATAGATCAACTTGAAGCCCAGCCATAAAAATGCTGCAGTATACATCATTTGCTGCAGTTCATTTAAAATTGCATATTCATAGCCTGGTAATGCAGCATTTACCTTTTTTCCACCCAAGAGCAACGTGAGTGACTAAAAAGTAATTTTTCACTTGATCAATTAAGTAAATAGGAGTTTTTGCAATGTTCCTGGGAAGCAGTGCGATGAATCATTTCTCAAAGCTTTCGCCTGCCTCATTGCACTCAGTGAAAGTGTTAAATGTTACTTTATTTGGGAACAAGATACGATCTTTTTCAAATCAGATAAACACCGCCCCTTCCCCCAGAACAAGGCCTCCAGGTGTTGCAGAATATGTGTGGACTCTACGATGTCATGAATATGGTTTATTGGGTTGGCTTATTGTTCAGGTTCTGAACTCTCCCATTAGATAGTGCTAAAACTGCACAAACTGCTCTCATAGGCAAACGGCTGGAACTGGTGTGTTCTGAGGCAGAACGGGTTTTGTACCCCATGTCCCCGAAGGTCCCACCGTGGACATTACAGCAAAAATTGAAAGAGACGGAAAACACGGAAACATACTAAGCCTTTCTGTAGCACTGTTAGAACTGGGATGCTTCAGACTGAAGTAATTTCCATTCTGTACACATAGGCATTGATTGCTTTAGGGCCTTGGTAGCTGGCTTGCATTCAGATCTTTAGGTGGAACTGCATCTCACCCCAGAAGTCTGCACTGGGCAGGACAACCTGTTCGAGGCCGTGGAGGGGGAATGAAGTGCTTCAGTCAGTGAATAAAAGACTGACTGACGTCAGGAGGCTGTTCATGCCTAGTATTTTTGGAGTGAATTCTCAATTAACCTAGAAACTAAGGGACAGGTCTCCATTTACAATAGAATTGGGAAAAAGGGATGTAATGGCCTTGCACTTTAGCAACTTTCAACTCGGGACTGCAAAAAGCCCATTACCCATCTGAAGGGGATGTAATGAGAATTTTTGTAGTGCTAGACATGAGGTCCATAGGTTAAGTGATTTACCCAGCTAAACTGAAGCAGAAGCAAATCCAAAGCAACCTTCATGATGCTATCATTTACACTATATTCACAAATAAAGCAGCATTTGCATGCACTGAGTTTAGCAACGCTTACACTGAAATTTTGTCTGCTTTAAATTTTGTCTTACTGGTTAATAATTTGATAATTGTATAATGTTTTGAACACTGAAATTAATATATGTGTTTAGATATCATAACATTATCCTCCTGCATGTCCTATGCCATTCAGAAGGTACTTCTGAGATTACATCTGTACACATGACCTTACAGTGTCCTTGTATGCAGAGACACTGCCCAGCAATTGCATCTACAAGCAAAAATTGAAAGTGCATGTTAGAAATTTTGGCTTCTCACTTGTATTTAGATGAGTTCATAAACACATATTATTCTGTTTCTTACATCCCCCAAAAAAGCCATAGACATCTTAGAGTGAGGTGGTACAAACAGAAATACCAGTATTATGGAAATAGAGTTCTACAAGTAGAAAGAGTGAACATTAAAAGCTAGTTTCTACTCCATGGTACTGGTTTGGGGTTCTGCAGGAGGAGCCAGTGTAAGTCAATTGGACCCAGGAGCTGTGAAGGGAAGCTTAATCCATCCTTATACCTGTCATCCTGAAGAGTCCTTAAAAGACATGGGCTGGACAGATGGACAAGCAACAACAAAATCAGAAAGCACATTACAGAAATAAAAGAACTGCTTTTGATGGACCATTTGTTATCGTTCTTACAGGTGTGATGATCCTGTAAAATGCAAGCTGTATATTTATAACTATGAGACACATTACCATGAGCTTTGGATTTTTCCAAGCTGTCAAGTCTTTTCTAACCTTCAAAGTAGGTTTTAGTCCCCCGGGTGGTCTTAGCGTCTGAGACAAAATTATACCTATCCCAGGTTTGGTTTTCTGTTTTCTCTTTAGCCTGGAGAAGAGAAAGCTTAAAGGGATCTTATCAATGTATATAAATGTCTGATGGGAGGGAGTAAATAAGAGTTGGGCTCTTCCCAGTGGTACTCACTGACAGGACAAGGGGCAGTGGGCACAAACCGAAATACATGGAATGACACTCACAAGCAAGAAAACATGTTTTTACTACTGAGAACTGGCACAGATGGACCAGAGAGGTTATGGAGTCTCTATCCTTGGAGATTTTCAAAACCAAACTGGACAGTCCTGAGTAACCTGCTCCAGTGGACCCTATTTGAACGGGCCAACTCCAGAGGTGCTGCCCAGCCTCAGTAATTCTGTGATTATAGCCCACGATCTTACCAAGGGAGCTGCTTAGTGGTGTTTAACAGGGCTGTGAGAGATCAGGATAAAAGTTTGGTGTAAAGGGAGAAGTACATACGAAAGGATAGTGAGGCATCAGCCAGAAGGACTTAGGCTGGCCAGATAACCTGAGCAACACAAGTGAACAACAGACCTCAACAAGAAGGAGGAAGGAGATGAGGAAATGGCCGGTCCAGAACCAGATTTGCTTTATGAATCAAACTGTCTATCTGACAGCCTAAGGAATTGGAAAGTCCCATTTAAGCTGCTGAGACACAACTCCTCCCTTCTCATCCCCTTCCTCCTCTGGCTTCTGCAATCACCCTTGAGGATGTTGGAGCCAATCTTCATTTCCAATCCCTGTTTGTGTAGACACAAATACAAAAACATAAGGCATGAATACTCAAGAATCTCTTTATGCCTCACTCGTGGATTTTAACAGATTTTTTAATTCAGACTTTAATGCTTTTCTAAAAAATAAAACAAGTCCCTCTCAAAAACCAGAGCACTGAACTTTCTTGCCATAGCAAAGTGATCCAGTGATTAGAGCAAAGACACAGTTCACAAATGGACTAAACAGAAAAAAAGGCTAAATTTGCAAATCTTGATAGTTACAATGAGTAATTAACAACAAATCTAAACAGCATCATAAATCTGATATTATGAAATTTTCCAAGAGGGACAGATTACTCAGATTTATTCCTATGCTGGCAGCAAGTGGTTATCTCAGAAATCATCAGTGCAGAAAAAGGCTGAGTGCATTGCAAAGCCAGACCTCCCCCAAATAACACAGATTTCATTTTTTAACTTCACACTTCGAAAATTTCCCTTTGGTGTACACTAGATGTCAGGGTTGGACTGAGAGGATAAGCCCATCCACCCATCACACAGCTCTGTGCATCAGGCTGGATGCCATCAGGACAACTAGATTTGCTCAGGAAGTATTTTTGTGAAGCACCAGATGTTTACAAGGAGCAGTCTGCACAAATATCCTGTCTCCCCCACTTTGCAGTATTTAATTCAGGCTGAAAGCTCCAGGCTTTAGAAGAGGGAAGAGACACCCCGAGATATCTTTCTAATAGCAGTGAGTATCTGCCAGTATTCTTCACTCTCTCTGGTTCCAAGAAAAATAAAACTCTGAACTGCTTGGGTGAACAGGTATTTTCTAGAGGGAACTCTAATAGACAGCAACCTGGCACAGCACGGACTTGGCTGGGGAAAAGAAGAACCTGATCAGAACTACATTAGATTTGTAGAAGCCACATACACTCCCCATGACCTTAGGTAGGTGATTTTGTGTGCCTTGACTACACAGCAATAAATTCAAGATGGCAACTTATCTCTGCTTCTATGGCAAAGGAGAGAGTGTGGACCAGGAGAGCAAAGTTAAAAATCACTCCCTTTGTGAGATGCTAGTGACACAAAAACAATGACCCCAGTAAACTATTGGTAATAATGACAGGGAAACAAAAAAACCAAAAAAAAACAACAAAAAAAAAAGCGCTTCCCCTTTTAACTGCTGCAAGTGACCTAGTGCTGTCCACTTGTCCAGAGAACAGTCAGGTAGGACTCTGCTAGGTTAAGTGTTAACCACAGGTGTCTTAAAGAGAAGGACATGACAGAGACAGAAAATGTGCTAGGAAGTATCGTATAATTTTGCATTTCTATACAGCTTATCTGTGTAAAACATTTCAGGGTATTCTACAAGCAAAATACATTTCTCAGGGAATTCCTGGAGATAAATCACATTTCATAAGCAGGAGGCTTTAAAATGCATTCCTCTTCTCATTTGGTTTTGGCAGTGCCCCAGCCTGGCTGCTGGAGTCACAAGTTCTGTTGGTGGTTAAGGTCAACGCCACAATCATGAAACACAGGGTAAAACAGGAAAAAATAAGTGAAACAAGGTGACATCAGAGCACTTGCCCAGTGAAGATGTCTAGCAAAAAGGTATCAGATCTCAGGGTGAGTGCACCTGGAATTGCAATGATTGCCATGGGGGCACTGTGCACCATAAGAACATATGGGATCAAACTCAACTAAATTAATGCCACAAAAGACAATCGGTGTTATTGAACATTCATCAGAGTTTGTGCAAACTAAGGGAGTGAGTGTTATCTGTAACACTGTAAAAACACCCTGGCTCTTTTAATGCAACAGCCAGCCGTGATTTTAATGTGACTGTCACATAGCAGTGCTACATACACTGGCTGCAGCAGTGTTGATGTTGGACACAGTTACAAACCTGTAGTGTATAACAGAATGAGAATTCACAGTGACTGAACTTTTAGAAAATACTAATAATAGAACTGGTAGGTAGCAGGGAAGCTTAGAACAGGGAGGGGTCAGCCTCGTTTTTATAGAAGAAATTTGGCCTCGCAACCTTTGAGACTTCTTTGGAGGAGCCACTAATGGTCTGCAGTTCTCTATGTTGACAAGGTTCTGCTCCAAAGGCTGTCAAAGCTACTGAGCTGTCATGAAAGAATATCATAGTATATTATCATAAGATGGGTAAATAATTAACAATGGGAGAAATTGGAAAAAAAAAAAAAAAAAAAAAAAAAAAAAAAAAAAAAAGAGTGGGATGA